TTGCTAAATAATAGATTATACACCATGTAGCTCCGAACCCCCCCCATAACCTTCACAGAATTAGCTGCAGGGGTTATTCATACAATAATTGTTTCTGCCAAACACATACATCTCCATGTCAACCAAAAATTAATGTGATTTTTCTTGCTAAATAATAGATTACGCACCATGTAGCTCTGAATTTTCCCCTCTCATATCACAATCAAATCCAGCTTTCACATTTTCATTAGTTACCTAAGATGTAAATAGTGTTTGTATTTAAAGATTTCAACTTGGTCTCCTTTATTTGCATGTAATTGAACTTGTTAATACAAGTGCTTAATCCTTTGTTGATTAGTACCTTATATTCAAGAGAGGGTAATTTAGACCTCCAATTACAAACACGAGTCTTGATTGCACGGCCCTTAAAACAAGGCACTGATCTCTTAACGTGGCACCGTTAAATTTTCCGTTACTTTACAGTAGCCAATTTGCTGCTCCGTTATCCTAGACCGTTGACCGAGGTGAGGTGTAAGTGATAAGCACCTGCTCAGACTAATGTCATCTGTGGCTTGGCACCACACTTGTGGGCCTGACCAAAAACAGGAACACCACGACATGGGCTTGAGTTTCTCAGAGCTCACGTCAGCCTGTCAAAGCCACAAAGGCCTGGCCTGTCACCGCGCTGTGATACTCTACTCCTCCTCCAGGTCTGCTACAGTATCAGCGATGAGGAAAAGGTCAAAGAGTCAATGAGGAATTAAGACATGCTTCCCTGAGCATTCCCCACGCAGCATTTCAGCACTCATGCTAACTTACATGAAAAGGAAAAGCTGGCTGTTCAGGCTAATCAGATTTTGCTGCCTGTCTAAATGATTCCATTAAGGCCAATTAGCCCCCTCACTGATGATGTAATATAGGGGCTGCCTGCCTGAATATATACTGGGAATAAGGAGGCAGGTATGTAATAAACTCAATGATAATGATAGATAGTAATACGTCATTTGTTTTCAAATTTGATAACATTTCTTTTTAAGGGTTATTGGTAACTCATTATAGGCTACAGGGTTTCTACAGGTTTTTGAAGGTTAACTTAAGACTTTTAAGACATTTTTAAGACCAAGTAAAAAACATAAGGAATAAATTAAAGTGAACACGTCAAAATATACTGTAAATGTAAGTTGTATTAACAACACTTCAAACATTCAACAAATTTCCAATACTTTTTACTTTAACCATATGGAAATAACTTTTACTGTATCTTCTGATCAAATTGAAAAAAGTAATGTTCTTCCTCAGTATTTTTGTTGTTTCCACTGCAAATGTTTAAAGATTTCTAAATCATGAGAACTGAGAAGCAAAATGTCAAAATAATGTGAGTTTATGATTCAAACAAGAACAAATAACTGCCAAAGGGGTCAGAAAAATACACCTAAAACAAGAATAAATATTCCCTTGAATTAGGTATACACTCAATTTTGTTCAGTTTCATATCTTCATTTTGCATCTCAAATATGATTTAAAGGGGTCCTATTATGCTCTTTTACAAAGTCTTGATTTTGTTTTGGGGGTGTACTAGAACATGCTCTCATGCTTGGTGGTTTGAAAAACGCATTATTTTTCACATAATTGACATTATTAAAATACCTTTCTCCCCAGCCTGGCACAAACGGCTCGATTAGTTCCGGCTTTGATGAAGGTCCGCCTTCCGAAAAACAAAATGTGTTGTGATTGGTTAGCTGTCCCAGTGTGTTGTGATTGGCGAACAGCTTAGACGGTGTTTCAGTACAGTCCCTTGCTCCGTCTTTCAACAAAAGCTTTTGGCGAATCTGGCACTGTACTCCCTCGTGTTGTGGAAGCTGTCCTCAGTAAAATGCGCAGCACACAATAGAAAATTGGGGTTATAATGCTCAGGAACAGAGTTAAAAAATAAATTGCAACCACTGTTTCCTGACATCATCCGCTTTCGGAAGCCCAAACGTCTTTGGATATGAAAAAAACAGTGTCTCAGGCAGTCGCACACCGGACAAGAAGCGCAGCGTCGCGCCACGTCTTTAAAATTTGAGGGAATTATTTTTAATGATATTCTAATGAGCCGCTTTGTGATATCACAAAGCCCGGAAAACAACGCTGTAGTCCAAACGAGCCGATCGTTGTAGTTCTTGAAAAAGGATTTTTTAAAAAACAAAATATCTCCCTTTGGAGCGGACTTTGAGATTTGTAACTTTCTAGATCTTTTTTTATGCCCAAACATACACACTACACACTGACTAAAATTAAAAAAGTGAAAAAGCATAATAGGACCCCTTTAAGAATGTTTAGGTATTTTCACAGGAAAATGACAAAAAAAATACTGAGAAAGATATAAATTTTCATGCAGTGCATTCACCATTTAATGCCGTGACTTTATGAATGTAAGACTCTCTGCTCCGATTTAAGATCTTTTCAAAGACTTAATTTGGGGAAGGGTGAATTAAGACTTTTCAAGACCCACGGAAACCCTGTTATAACCATGAAATGCCATAATTCATACTAGATTTAGTCATTACACAATGACTCAGTCAAATCAAAATCCCTTGGAATTATGGTTTGTAAGACAAAGGCCAAGAGGTCCATTGATTTACATGTAATACATGAAATGATTACTTTGGTACTGCTTCCGGCAAGGCCAGAAAATCGAGGCCTCTGATAAATGTGCTCAGCAGAAAGCTTTGAGAATCAATATGGTAGTTTGTCAAAGCCGATCTCAGAGGTAATGTGACGAAGGATCCTGCAGAAGAGAGCCAGAGTCAGCAAAGTACATTATCAGAAATCAAAGCATCTGAGAATGACAGGGGGAGGGGGTTAAGGGTGGGTCCTGAACGAAGGCCACACTTCCTCTATTGTAATTAAAAACCATTTTATCAGACCTGTCCTCCAAACAATCCCTCTTGCTAACTATTGACAATAAGCCAGGCAGGGCGTGAGCTCTAATTTGACTTTAAATAAATGAGCTGAAGGTATTTAAAATTCTGCATTAGCTTTAGGGAAGAAAACAAGTGGGAAAACAAGGAGTTGCAGAGCTTGTAAACTTCAAAGAAAACATCAGATGCATCACAATAATGCCTAATTATCACGATAATGGCAGAATAATCTGCATACCATGCGTGACAAATCCATTTAATATAAAAAAATGTAAATCTTTTGACTTGTCAAAGAAGTGCAATTGTCAAAATTCAAAATAAACTTGCCTATTTATACCAAATGGATGAGCGACACAATAGCCAATTTGATCAAAAAATAAAAGACATATAATAAAGTCCATACCTTTACCTTGAAAATATTACATTTTCTTGAACATTCTGATCAAAATTTTAATCAGCAGTTTTATTTATTTTTGTTGCAAAAGTGCATTTCAGGTCGCTCTTGGCCATTCGTACAAGTTTTCAGACAGTCGGTGACAAACATTTTCTTGTAAAACTCAAGTCCTTCTTTTCAAATACTCATTGTCTCTGATATTAAAACTGAGCACCCTCCACCTCCTTGTATGCAAAGTAAACCGTAACAGGTCCTGCAGAGGTCTGAACTGTCTCTGTCCCTCCAACTACCATCCATGAACCCAAGCCATATGCCAAGCATGGGATACCTTGAAGAAAGAGAGAGAGAGAGAAAAAAAACATTAGAAATGTACTAGTTTGCTGTCAGAAACATAAAATAAAATATGTGTAACTAATACTTTAACTGACCTAGATTGATGAATTTCAATGCCCCAAAAAACTTATTTTCAAACTCCAGGTTCTGTGGAGGTGCTTTGGTGCAGTGGTATTTGATAAAAGGGAAAGCACCGGTCCTAAGGGTGTGGTAGTTCGCTCCCTGCACCTGCCAGTTGAAGTTGGACAGACCGAACTGGTCGTTGATGACATCCCGGTAGCGCACGCAGAATGAAGTCCAGGGCGGCAGCGCGCGCTGCGTGAGGTGACATGTTAGTACTTCAGAGGCGGCAGGACGAGGCGCTTTAGTCCCAAAGCTGCTGGGGAACAGGGCCACTTTTAGAAAGCCACCGTGGATTCTGCGTAGAATCTCTGTCATAGCCGAGTAAACCTTAAAGTGGTCTAATATCAAAAAAGACGTTTCAAGAGCAACTGTTGGCGAGTCACATCATTATTTCATCACGAGTAATTAATAAATTAATTAATTAAGCAACGTAAACCATTAATAAAGAACATCAAACCTAACCAAACTGCAGTTTTGCAACCTATAATCAGGCCAATACTGCCGAAACTTTGAGAGAGAGAACGTTATACAACTTACCAGTGCGGCTTTCAAACTAGTTTGACAAACATTTATATTATTACTACATTGCTTTTACGAAAGTACGATTAATGAGCTAGTTTTGTGCAGAAATATAAGAGGCGTTCAATACAACCTTTAATGGTACGATTAGTATCTACTCCGGGAAGAAACAACCGAGCGCTTTTTTGTTCCTATTTGCCCTATGTATGTAGTATGTATCTTCATTCTCATGCACACATAGACTTCCATTCATAAATGGAATTACACATAAAATACAATACAGTAATAGAACAAAAAATTGGATATTTGAAATATCCAATGTACTTATTATATGTCCAATATATATATATATATAATATCCAAAATATTGGATATATTAGGCTAAATGTTTAATAATTGTGATTATTTTATATGTTGGTCAGTCTATATAAATTAAACCCATATCTGGAGCCAATTACATACCAACTCAACTTAAGTTTGTTTATTTTTTTTATTCATCAGCTGGTCACAGCCAAATATAACTGGTTACAGTAAGATTCAATCACTACGCTTCAGATATTAGTCTTTTAATATTTAAAAGGTTTTTTGATTTCATTAAAAAAAAAAAACTCCTGAATCCACGAAAACGTTACAATTTATTGAAGGTTTTCTTGAAATAACTTACAACAGATCCAATTATTATCTGGCTGTTGCTACTGTTAAAAACGATCAAAATGTATTATTTTTGAGTGATTATATTTTAGGTACGCATTATATAGTTTACTGATTAAGCAACATTCCTCTCTTGTATCTCTAGCTATTAAGAGCTAAATGTCATGAATGGCACATGTAACTTAAATGTAATTATCTTGTTCACATTGTTAATCTTTCTAGGTATAAATGTCCAATATTTTAGATCACTATAACAATGTGATCTAAAAATGTCATGGAGAAATCCACTCAAGCAAATTTATACATGCGTGTATCTCCTTTTAATGTTACTGTATGTTAGCCACTTTACAGCTATAACCAAGATCTATAGAATTGTTTGATAACAGCAATTATAACTGAATGTGTAAATGCTATTGTATGATACTCTAGAAGCATGTTGATTAATTTAGGGTTGATCTGTGAGGTTTATGAGATGATAACTGTTCGCTTTCGGCTGCAGTAATCTCTTCTTCTTGAGATGTGGTTTGGTTTTGTATGGTCATGCCCAGGACTTCCTCAATGTCCTTGATAAGGTCCTTATAAAAGCAAACAATAGCAGATATTCAGTCAGTATATGTCTGACTACTGTACAGATCCTAACCTCTAGCCTCTGGACAGTGAATGTTTTTTTTCTATAAAATTAAGTAACATTGTGTTGAATGCAGCCATTTAGGAAGTGTCAATGAATCTACAGTTCACTCACAGTATCCAACATTGTCTACAGAGTTCTACATTTGAATGACTTCAGCTGCAGATAGTATAGATAGAGATAAAGCATTGACTTTAATAAATGAATACCTTGTGTATTGTATAACATGTTATTATGACACACAATTGACGTTTTCTCAAAACATATGCTCAAGTATGATGAGTTCTCACCTGAATTTGACCAAAAGCTCAAATTCACTGCTCTTCGCCCCAAAACGTTTCAGCAAAACTTTGGTATAATGTTGGTAATAATAAACTTGAGTTATAATACTAACAATAATTTATTTAGAATAGCATATTTAGAAAAGATTGCAACAAACAGTTTGGTGCAAACTGGAAGTTAACTATTTTTTTCGCTGAACCTGTATGGCCCAGTCTATTCATCATTTGTCAAAGGTAATATGCTGCCAATTGTTGTCCCAAATTTCAATTTGACTTGAAAAATATGAGATTATTAAATTAAACAACTTTGAACACTATGAAGGATGAAGTTTATTATTACTAGCATTACACTAAACTTTTGCAGAGCCTTTTGGAGCAAGTGGTGGAGGGAACTTGATGCAACTCCTCTACTGAGTGACTGATTCTATACTGCTGCAGTGTGGATATATTTTTGTTAATTATTTGATGGTCATAATTAATTCTTTGTCTTTGTAAAGTGACACTGAGTGTTCGAAAGGAACTAAAACCATGATATGTTATATGGTGAAACCATCAAGAATCATTGTGATTAATGTCCAACACTCTTAGAAAAAAAGGTACCAAACTGTCATGGGGTATTAATATGTATTAATAT